TCCGAAATCAGACTTAGGTACGATATAATATAAAGTATTAACTATCGAGAGTCATTTTGTTAGAATCACAATTACCTATTACGTATTGTTTAATTTGCCAAATTCTATTATTTCTATTATCAATATTATATCAAAGTCTATTTAGTTTCTTTTGATCAAACCAGTATACTTTTCGTATTTTGTTATTTGTTACTTGTTATTTGTTAAATTCATCATCTTCGTTATTTTACTGAATAAACCTTATTGTTGAAAGATACTGACCTGTGGATTTCACTCCTTAACCGCACATCACACGCATCCCACAATCTTTACATTTAGTTATTTTCCAAAACGAGTCGTTCATTTGGTAAAAGCCGCTCTTTACCTTACTAGCGCTAGTAACTATCTGAATCTAGGTTCCAGAGTCGTTACACATGTATATAAACATTGAATATGTTTATAGAAGAGAATAAAGATAGTTTACAGCGAATAACCCCCTTTCCAATCGGAACACCAGTTACGAAACACTATGTATATGTTCGAAATTATGTCGTGTTTGCTCTTATTTTACGCAGGAAAATGTCACAAATGTTGGTAACAGTTTCATAAAGGAAAATAGAAAAAATGATTTTATTCTTGCATTAGATTGATTGCTTGTTCCACCGATATGTTCCTGTTTGTTTACGTTCAATCACCTTTGCTCGCTGTCCTTTTCTACATTCGACAAAGCATCAATCAATGTAGAACCTGTATGACATAAACGACAGTTTAGACACGAAAGATTTGATTATATCGAATCATTTGTGCTTAGCTACATTATGTATGCACTCACACAGCCTGGTATCTGAGGTGGAGTGTAATTTTGTACATATTTTTTTATTGAATATTCTTTTAAGTTGAACAGGAGCGCGATCATAAACACATGATAAATTAGAATTAATCCTCTCGAACCAGGGAACAACTGAGAATATACAATCAAACTCCAGGGCCAAAGAAGCCAAAGAACACCAGCCAAAACCTACTCCACATAAGGAAATCATTCACCGTCAAAAAGTGGAAATCCAGGAAGAATGGAATAGCATATGGAACTCCAAACCAACCAAAATTCACACTGTTATTTCAAATTTCTTCCAAGACACCCCACGAAATCACATGAACAGGAAAGAAAGAAAAAATGTTTTCGATATCGTTGACAAACTAGTATCCATGGATGTGCAAATTAATTGAAATACTCTCTCGATA